TCGACTACGGTCGATTCCTTTCGATGTAACTATGTACAGTTGTTACAACTTTCTTTTGATTGTGTGTCTAAGGGACTAGGATTAAAGTTGGGTTTCACACATGGTTGAGACCGTCCTAGTCGACCGACGTTTGCTCCGTACCTAGGAGATCAGCRCCCTATGAACGGACGACGTTCGGGTTCGCTTGGCGTTAACCAAGCGTATCTATACCACAGCGAACAAGCAACCTGTCGAACGCATCGGCTACCGCCTTTTTGCAAAGAGCGGGAGCCCTCCCGGCCATGTCACGCAGGACTAAAACATAAATAAAAACAAAGACAACTCGGAGACGACGCATAAATAATCCCACGGACCGCCGAGATGGTCGCGGTTGCGTCGTCCCTTCACCGCTCTAGCCGGGTGCGCCAGCTGTACTTCCCGCGGTCCCCTACGACAGGATAGGTTTCCGCGGGGCACATCTTATCTTCCCTAAGGGGCTATCGCCACCCTTAGGGGTGTATCCTTACCAAGCTATTGACCAACATGCGAAAGCTTTTAAATCCAATCGCAGAAGGTAGATCAGCCGAGGGCGTTGGCTTGGTAGGGATACGCCCCTAAGGGTGGTGACAGCCCCTTAGGGAAGATAAGATGTGCCCCACGGGAACCTATCCTGTCGTAGGGGACTGCGGGAAGTACATCTGGCGCACCTGGCTAAAGCGGCAAAGGGACAACGCAACCGCGACCGTCTCGACGTTCCGTGGGATTATTTATGCGTCGTCTCCGAGTTGTCTCTGCTTTTATTTATGTTTTACTCCTGCGTGATATGGTCGGGAGGGCTCCCACGCTTCGCAAAAAGGCGGGAGCCGATGCGCTCGACAACAAACGGTTTGTTATGGCAAGAAAACAACACCATTTTGTAATAATCAGTGACATCAATCATGGCATGGACCATGGTGCCATTGTCCCACAGCTCCCTATGGTTAGAGGCATGTACAATGGCCATGTAATGGCCAGGGCCGTGCACAATGCAGGCAAAGATGTGGGATAAAGGATTAAACCACTCACCTGCTCGAGCATTGCGTAGTTCAAGTTGATGGTCCCTCATTGCTACTTGTAGGACAGCAATGGTAAAGCCTCCTTTGCTGGTATAATTACAATCCTCTGGCTGTCGTTGGGGAACATTGGCATCAAGGTGAAGGGCGATTGCAAGGAAGTCTGATGGTGTATAAAATGGGCGATGGAGAATGTGAAGACAGATATTAGTTTCTGTCAGGCCACAAAGATTGGTGAGGTTCTCAGGCTGGTTTGTTGGATGCTGACCAACAATTTGCAGATCACCCAGATGGTGTTGCAAGCCCAAACTGTGTAGGGTTGTTTGCTGGCTAGTCATTTGCAGATCACCCATTTGGTCTGCCCGTGGCGGAGCACAAAATTGTGGTTCATCCGAACAATGCTGGTCAGCCATTTGCAGATCCCCCACAATTTTGTGGTTCTACGCCTTGTGGGGTCAACTGCAAGTTTGCTGGTCGGTCATTTGCAGATCACCCATGTGGTCTGCCCGTGGCGGAGCACAAAATTGTGGTTCATCCGAACAATGCTGGTCAGCCATTTGCAGATCCCCCACAATTTTGTGGTTCTACGCCTTATGGGGTCAACTGCAATCCTGCCAGATCATGTTCCAATTCCTCAACGTTGAGTAGGGACTGTACCTGGAGTCGGGAGTGTATTCTGGGCAGCGGTTGCATCCTGAGTAGGGACTAGTGGCTACCTGCAGGCAGCTGGACTGTCTGCAGGAGGCATAGGAGCGGATATTGCCGTTTGAAACAAAGGAACCGCAACAACCTGTGGAGGAGGCACAAAGAGAATCGGGGCAGACAAAGAAATAGGTTGCTGAACCCCGAACAAGTGACGATGTCGCCGATGTAGTTGGTGATACACAACAAGAGGAGTAGTGGTGTTGCAAATAGAAGCTGAACTTGTACCTAGCAACGCAGGTGGAACAATGGGAACACTGGCAACTGGAAAGTCTGTTCACAAGCGAGACCGTGGAGGAGATGGGGGTGGTGAGGAGGAACGCAGTCGTCTACAGCCAAGCACAGACAAAGATGAGAGGGAGGTGCATTGGGCAAGATTTTGGAGCAAAGGACGTGAGCGTCGGAGAGATTGTGAAGTTCTTTGCATTGGAGCTGCAGGGCAGGAAGCTGCAGCAGTAAAAACTAAACTAGGGGGAATTACAGTTAGGGAAACTGCTGTACTGAAAACTGCAGCAGTGGAAACCGCAGCAGTAGAAACTGCAGCAGCGGAAACTGGAGCAGTGGAAACTGGAGCAATGGAAACTGCAGCAATGGAAACTGCAGCAGTGGACACTGCAGCAGTGGAAACTGCAGCAGTGGACACTGCAGCAGTGGAAACTGCAGCAGTGGAAACCGCAACAATGGACACTGCAGCAGTGGAAACTGCAGGAGTGGAGACTGCAGCAATGGAAACTGCGGTAGCAGCAGATGAGCAAGCCGGGGCAGGATGAGAGCGTCATGGGGGCGAAGAAGACATTGGATGATACAAGGACCATCGCAGCATGCGTCAGAACCACTGAGAGAGACGCGTCAAATGTGTAGGATAGCAAAGTTGGCGGGAACGCATGTAGCAGGTCCACCCCTTAGCAAGGGTTGGTGGGGAATGCCCACGCGAAAGCATACGACGAGTAAGTGTTGTTGCTGCAGTTCGAAAGTGCTGCCAATTGTTACAGATTTGTTCAAATCTGGTCAATTGGCCAGTGAACACACCAGCCGGTTGATGGGAATATATATATATATATATATATCATCAAATATATATATATATATCGTCACAAACAGAACTGCCCGGTAAACCATAGTCAAAGAGAGAGAAGAGGACAACAAACGAGGGGCTGTGACAAACTAATATATTGGGTTGGGCTGTCGCCCGGCCAGGCATGCCCGGGCCAGCTGGGCCGGGGGGTATCGCTCGACAAAACCAGGCGGGTCAAAAAAAAGGGAAGGATCTCCAAAAAATAGAAACTGACTTCAGGCCAGGACTGCGCTTGGCCTGAGCAGTCAGAATCCGGCCTTACCTTCCATTTCGGTGGTGGGTCACCCAGGAGTGTTTGGGGGGTATAAAGTTACTCTACTAGAGAGGTTTAAAAGGGTATGTTATGAACCTGGTTGCTTGTTGTCAGAAGACTAACACTCGCTCACATGGACTTCTAGGTATGCCCATGCATACACAGAAGGAAGGGGAGAGGATGGGAGTATCACACCGCACAGGGAGAGAGAAGTACAATGGAAGACTTGACCATGCGATATGACAGAGTACACTGAAAGTGCAATTCGCTCCACAGAATCCTCACAATCAGTCATAAAGGAAAGCCGAGTAGATCACATCCAGAAAACAATGAAGCAAAGATAGTCCACACCTAGGTTGTTGGATCGGACGTCCGGGACGCCCCTGACCGTCCGGGATGTCTGACCGCACGTCTGGTCCGACGTCCGACCGGACAGGGGTTGTCCGACCTAGCGCAAAAAAAAAAAAAAAAAAAAAGAAAGTTCTCAGAAAAATCTGAAAAAAATATATGTTATGTAACATACCAATACAAGCAACTTTTGCCTTGGAGTCATGTTCAAATTCACAGTCAATCATGAGTTAAAAATCGAAAACCGAAAAAAAAAATATATATATATTTTTTTACGGAAAAATATATATATATATATATATTTTTTTACGGAAAAAAAAACCCCGGACGGCGGGGGTACCAGACGTATGGGGGAGACGTCCGGGGGAGACGACCGGCCCCCGGACCATTGGTAACCTAGGTCCACACACAGTAGCAATACTGTTTATGAAACTCGGGACATCGTTTTGTCAGAATTACCCCAGAACCATGGTGCGCTGCTCAGAAATGAGCAGCGCCACCCAGATACTGCCGCCAGAGGGAAGCGCCACCATGCTACGTGGCACCGTCGGCCGCGGATCCTCAGGCCCAATCCGCGGTCAACCTCCTAGGCCGCAGGCCCGCGGCCGAGCCACGCCCAGGCGGGGGCGCGCGTTCAAAATCAGCGCGCGCGCTCAGCCTGCGCACGTCAGCCGCTATCGGCCTGTGCAAAAAAAAAAAAATTCACAAAAATTTGGGGGGCCGGTTTTTGATGTGTGAAAAAAAAAAGAAAAAAAGAGAAAAATAAATAAATATCAATTGATTGATTGTTTTTTTGTTAACTGATTGATTGATTGATTGTTTGATTGATTGATTGATTGGTTGATTGATTGATTGATTGATTGATTGATTGATTGATTGATTGGTGGGGGAGGGGTCCTCCCTCTCCTCCCCCCAGCACACGCACACACACATGCACACACACACACACACACACACACACACACACACACACACACACACACACACACACAATCAATCAATCAATCAATCAATCAACCAACCAAACCAATCAAGATCCTATCGAATAGATAGGATCTTGATTGGTTTGGTTGATGATCCTATCGAATAGATAGGATCTTGATAGGTTTGGTTGATTGATTGATTGATTGATTGATTGATTGATTGATTGATTGATT